TTAGGAAAGAGATGTTTTTTTCGTCTGCTATATAGCTTTATATGCTAATGATCAGACACCAGGATAACACCAATGGATCATGACGTCACATTCATATATTCTATTCTGCTATGTTACAATTCCAATAATTTACTAATAAATATGAAGAACAAACAAGAGCATTTCTAGATAAATAATATGAAACACATTTGATTAACCTTATATATACACAGCAAAATAATCTAGATAGAAGGTACAAACTGCAATATGCTGATGTAGACATTCTTCAAGTAGTTATATAAAAAGCCAAAGACCAAAAACACGCTACAGAGAACCAGTTTGGCCAAAACCTCTTCAACATGTAGTAGAGGCTAGTAGGTTCATCTTAAATAATCAAGATGGGGTTAGGTGCCATTTACAGATAATTTTATAATGGTTGTTCGTGTGAGTGAAATTTGAAATTCAGTATGAATTCGCTTTGAATTCCCAACAATTCTTACTTTGGTAAATAACCCTGTAAGTCTCTTTCACCTACAAAAACCATGAACTAAAAGTAACCTCACTCTAGCCACTTCTAGATTTGTTTTTTAAATTAGCAACATTAGTTAAGTTTGGATTAGATAAACTGTTATTGGAATGATAGAGATTTTCCCTAGGTCACATAATTAATTCTGAGTTGAAACCAATCAAAGTTTTTTGCCCCGGTTGATGCTAATCGTATGGAGTACAAAAGTAATAAGTAAAAAGCAACAGACTTTTTCTTCAAAGAAAATTGCAATGACGAAGTATCACTTCCAACAATCTCGTGCGCCTATAAGTGTACAATGCGGGGGCACTTAATTAAAATGGGACATCAAGAGAAAATGAAGAGTTAGAAAAATTTAGAGCAACTATACATAGAATTGGATGAAGTAGAACATGCTAATGAAAAGGAACCTAGTCTAGAATTGAGTTATAGATCGAAAACACTCAAAGACAAAATAAAACTAATGCTTCTCTGGAGAGATTGAAAAGAACTTGGTACTACAAAGGCAACAGGGCAGATAAATTATTATCCAGCAGATTGAAAAAAGAAATGGTAAAAAAGAGGATAGCTAAGATTGTTCAGGGTGATTTGACTTTCCTGGCCCTTCCAATATAGGTCAAGTTTTCCAGGAATTTTATTATAATCTTTATAATCTACCTGATAGACATCTACCAACAAATATGGGAAGTTTCCTGTAAAAAATAAAAGCTTCCAAAAATATCTAAAGTTCAGCTTGGGAATTTGAATGAGCCTATATCAATAGCTGAGGTTAATATAGCAATTAAAAACGAAATCCCTAAATCTTCTAAATCCCCAGGCCCAGATGGTTTTAGTAATATTCTTTGCAAACTATTGAATGAAAATAAAATAGATAATTTAACTAATATTTTAAACGAATTTATGACAAATGGGAAGATACCAGACAAAATGTTAAAGGCTCAAATAATACCAATTCCTAAACAACAAAAATCCCCAGAGTTGATTGCAAATTATAATCCTATTTCTTTATTAAACGGCGATATAAAATTATATTAATCAATAATCGCCGCCAGATTAAGTAAGGTCATAACAGATATAATGCATCGAGTTCAAGTTAGTTTTGTCTCTAAGTGATCATCAGTGTAGACACCTTGTTGATATTGTAGACTGGGTTCGGATAAGGAACTCCCCCCTCCTGATCCTGTCACTTGACGCCGAGAAAGCGTTTGACAGGGTCAGGTGGGATTTTTTAGATGCTGTTTTGGAAGGTTTTGGGTTTTCAGAGAATATAAAAGGGGCGATAATGGCTCTGTATACTTCTCCGACAGCCAGAGTGGTGGGTGCTGGTTTTACTTCGGACTGGTTCTCTCTAAAGAATGGGACGAGACAGGGATGTCCTTTGTCTCCTCTTCTTTATTTAATGGCAATTGAACCTCTGGCAGTTGCAATAAGGAATGATGTTTCAATAAAAGGTCTGAAGGTGAAGGGGGATTGTGTCAAACTGACAATGTACGTAGAAGATGTTATACTTACTTTAGGAGACCCTTTGAATTCTCTTAATGCCCTGCTACCATGTATGGAGGAATATTCAGTTTATTCAGGGTACAAACTGAATATTAATAAATCAATAGCCTTACCCATTAATGTGACCAAGGAGACTGTTGAAGTGTTGAAAAATGGGTCTGGTTTTAGATGTGCAGAATCATCAATTAACTAATTGGGGATTGAAATTGCAAATGATGTAATTAAATATACAAAAAAAGTAAAAGAATGGAAAAACCTTGAAATCTCCTGGTGGGAGAATATTAATGTAGTAAAATCTTATATTGTACCAAAATGGCTGTATCATTTCCGAATGGTACCCCTGCCCTGTCCAGATATCTGAGTGACATTAGCACAATCTCTTATTAATAAATACATCTGGCTGGGAAAAAGTCCAATAATAAATTCAAAGCATTTCTCTTTTAAAGTTAAATCAGGAGGATTGGGGGTCCCTATCCTGAAAGACTACCAAAAGGCCTGTAGCTTATCACACGCCTTTACCACTCAGCTAGAGAGTTCTAGTGTGGAAATTTAGTACAAAATTGAACATGATTTGACTCAAGTTGAAGGGTTTTTGGATAATCCACCCAAAATATGGCAGTTCACTAATATACAGTTCCTGTAGTGCCACGCTTAATGGTATTTTGACTGAGTGGGAGAAGACTAGAAAGGAAATCAATTTGTATAACAAGTTAATACCCTCTTTTCCACTGGCATATCTCGCATATTATATGCCAAATATAAAACTAGATAAGTGACTTGAAAGAGGGTGGTACGAATAGATAATTTAATAAATAACTCTTGGATTGATTTTCAGTCGTTAATTTTGAAATATAAATTAGATGGAAAGGACATTTTTAACCATCTTAGGCTAAAAGGTTTCTATCAGGAATATGTTTCTAGAGAAAAATCGAATTATACAATCTGGCTCGGAAAAATATTAAATAAATTATCATCAAAAAAATCAATAGCTGATAACTTTTGCTAAGGGATCCCGACAAACCTTTAGAAGCAATTATTAATAAATGGCAAGATGACCTAAGAGTCCAAATTAGTTGTGAACAATGGAGGGAGGCCTTGTCCTTAGTTTATAAAACCATTTATTGCCTTAATTTAGTAGAATGCCATTTCAAAATTGTAAATAGATGGTACATGGTTCCCAGTAGAACAAGTAAATTAATCAATAGTCAAGAGCATACATGTTGGAGATGCAATATAGAAAGAGGGGACTATTTAAATATATGGTGGGATTGTGGTCCCATAGAGCTATTTTGGAAGATGATATTACACCATATAAAAACTTTAACTTCGATAAATTTGACATTCTCTCCCCACATATTTCTTCTTCAATTAAACATTAGACAATTATGTGGTAATTTAGCCCCCTTCGTAATCCATATATTAATAGCTGCTTGTGACAAGTACCTGGTGGGAGGTCTATATGAAGCTAGGGCTTCTATTTAGATGGGATCGCAATAGTCTCTTGGGATGCCCCCCTGAGGATCTAGTTGGCTTAAAGGTTAGTTTGACCATGTAATATGACCATGAGTGTTACATGTTTAGGTTTGTGTCGCTATGTTTAGTCTAGAATGGAGATATTTTTGTATTATTTTCTTTTACCTCTTTTTTTACTTATATGGATATACTTACTCGAAGATCGATAGGAAGAGGTTGCGATTAGTTGCATTAACACAACCTTGAAAATGTGATATGATTATTAATAGAAGATTTTTGCTAAAAAAGTTTTAATACCTTGTAAATATGCAATATGGTGATGTGTAAATGTATACAAAGAAGAATCCATTATTGTGTTGTATAAGTATGAAAATTTTTCAGATTATATATATATATATATATATATATATGAATATAAATGAAAAAAAAAGTAATATATTTTTAAATATTTTTTAGTATTAATCTCTGGGATTTTTAATTAAGTGTTCTTGCATAGCAAGACCACTTAATGTTATCTCACATATATATTATTATTATTATTATTATAGCAAAATTTGCCACCCTAACTCCTCCCACAGTTTTTACACTACATAGACAAAAATTTACCAAAACGTGCAGATTGTTCCCGATCGAATTGCTATTACTTTGTGGAACGTTTCGCCGAATGGTTCACGGAATATCGTCGTTCTTGTGGTCGTTCTTGTGGCGAAATTTGTCCCATAGGAATGAATGGCAAAGCTAGAGTGGGAGCTGGCAAAAGCTGAAAAATCAGGACATGATTTCTAAACTGCCACCACTCCCTTATTTTCAGGCCCACCTACACAAATCTTATATCAAAAGCTATCCCTCCTGCCACTAAACATGTCAACGGCTAAGCCATAGTCCTGATAGTTTTTACAATACAATCATTTGTTTGCAACTAACGCCGTCCATTGACATTCATTGAAACTTCACTCTACAAATTTCAAATTTGAAGGGCAATTTCTAAACTGCGACTGTGCCTTCATTTTTAATATTTCAAAGACATACTATGCATCAGAATGTAGGTCTGGGTCTTGTGATTCTCACAATATAAAGCTCTTCGCTGTAGGATTGATAGTTTTTAAAATACGACCGTTTAAAGATGGCAACCGCCAAAATACTCTGACCTATGCCAGGCTGCAGCAGCAAGTGATGTCATAGACAGGGCCTTTTGAACACCTGCTAATGTTTTTATAAATGTATGGTTTAATGTAACTGTGCAACAACGTTGCAATTAAATGTGCTATATAAATGATAACAGTTACTCCGCCCACTCCAGTTGTAGACTACTGGTGGAGGCAAGAACACTTCACACAATTTCCCCAGAAATTGTAGCTTTTTTAGTTAAATAATTTTGTTATATGTAAGTCTGGTACATATGTGCATATCAGTGTGTTTGTGACATGTCATATCATTACCACGCAAAACATCATGTTTATATATATTTTTTTCAGATCAGACTTATTACAACAGAACGTTTGCTTTATAAAAAGTGAACATGGAGATCATCGGAATCTCATATCTAATTAGCTGGATAACAGAAACATTAGGTGAGTGCGGGGACGGGTACGTTTATATAGGATATTTTGAGTTTTTACACTCTTTTAAATCTGGAAATGGGGGAATATATTCTATTCTGCAATGTTATAATTCCAATAAATTATTAATAAATAGAAAGAATGAATAAGAGCATGTCTAGATAAATAATATTATAACACGTTTGATATATACTGTATATATATATATATATATATGTATATCAAAATTATCTAGATAGAAGGTACAAAATGCTGAATATTATTACTATCTCCACCATATTCAAGGCATTTATTTAATTAACCCTTTAATGACACAACTTCTGGAATAAAAGGGAATTATGACTGAATATTACCATCATGTGTCCTTAAGGGGTTAAAGCTCTTGTTTAGTATCCTAGTTAAGATGGCATTACCTAATACATGCCACGGGCACATCTAGTCTATGGAATACTTAAATATTAATAATGTTCATAACTTTCTGTGTGTGACGAGCTGAGCCTCGTCACGTGTTCTTGGAGCGGCCTGCTGGCCAGCCTCTTAGCAAAAGACTATGGGCCCTTTAAAAAACTATGTGATCAGACTTGGTTCGTGGGATTTATATTTAGTTTGGGAACCGAACAGCCGCACAAACCGGAGACCACCCTAGAGCCTGTTAAGCCTAATTGCTACTTTGTAGCAATTTCCACCGCAGTGTTCTAAGTGTTCATCTGGTTGGCCTAATTTCCTATGGATGATCACGGGGTGGCGGCCATCTTGTTTGCATGAACACAAGCAGCGTGGTCGAGTTCATGGAACTATTTTCGCACACTAAAACTTCCAAACTCCACTGGACTGGACTGGAGTTAGGTGTTATAGCACTTAGGAAGACACTGTTCGGTGGAAAAGCTCCAGGGTAAGACTATTGACTATGTTCGATAGTTTGTTCATTTTTAAACTACCTAAGTAGACCAAACGCAAGCCCTGATTCTCTGGAACTGTTTTGGGCAAGGGACCATGCGTGCAGTCAAATTATGACTTCCAGTAAATTCCTGAACCTCTAAACTGATCTGGGTGATTTTTGGATATATCGGTCACCCAGATCAGGGCTATCAGGTTTTTTTTTTAATAAAATTGTATGTTTTCTGTGCCTGGAGATAATTGAGTTTAATACAGTACTGACTGAATTATCTCCCATGCATAGGGGAGGGATTGACCTATTTTGTATGGGAGTTTCCTGGACCTGAGAGCCAATGTTATCGTGTGTATGTTTTTACTGTAGTCTACTCTCAGGTCTGTGGGGAGGTGCCCCTTGCAAGGGGACCTGCATATAAGGCCAGTTGTGGCTGCCATTAAAGAGATTAGTTTTACCCTTCATGAAGTCTAGGCTCATGTTTGGGAGATTGGAAGCTATATTCACACTCTGGGGTTTGCTATAATCACTATACTTCCTTGGATCACAACACTTGTTCTTGTAAGAGCAATCTGCTTCACTCTCTGGACTAGGAGAGGTCTACCCATTGGAAGCTGGATCCTAGTCTTGGGTCCAGGGTGGGTGGAGGACAGCGAGACCCCAACCAAGCTGCGGTTGTTTGGGGAGTTTACGGTGGTTATAATGTTCCAGTGCGGTGCTTTTGGTGCTCGCAAGTACTAGGAAGCAGTGATTGATGGAGGTACCCGGTCCATATGCCAGGGGGTTCCTCACACTGTGATTATAATACACAAGTTTTATTTTGTGTTCTTTCTCTAACCATATGTTCATTATTATTTGTTTAAAACAGGTTTGGCGGCAAACAAAAACATTAAAGGTGATGGCTTTGTGGTAACTGAAAAGAAGAGCCGCAAGAATGCCAAAACACTGATTCAAAATGCAAAGAGGATTATAAGAAAAATCAAAAGGAATGTTGTGAAAAAACTTGAAATTTATGGAAATAAAACATTATGTGTAAAGATGAAGGCAAGCAATCGGCATATCAGGTGCCAGAAGAAACCATGTGTTCCTCAAAAAGAACAACCTGTGTCTGGCATTACCACACAGGTCTCATGTGGTGCTTCAATCAATCAAGGAGCCACTACTTCCAATAATGTGGAATTAGACACAACAGATCATCTAAGAGGATGTTCTCTTCCTACTAAGAAACAGAATGCAAAGAAAACTTTGCACATCAAAAATATTAATCAGGAAATATTACATCAGATTGCTGCTCATTACAAAAAAGAGGTTCTGCATAAGAGCAAAACAACTTTACTCCAAGAATCATTTCAGCAAATTGTGCCAGATAAAGTGGTTGAACCAAATGTTCCACAAAACGTAAATGAACCAACCGTGCCAGATGAAGTGGATGAATCAACTTTTCCACAAAACATAAATGAACCAACCCTGCCAGATGAAGAGGGTGAACCAACTTTTCCACAAAACGTAAATGAACCTACCATGCCAGCTCAAGCTGATGAACAACCTGTGTCACAAGAAGCAGGTCCTAGTGACATACCTGAGAAAAACAAAGAACAACACACAGCTGTGCATTGTGTTGATAAAAAGCAAGATGGGCAATGGCTGCCATGGCTCAACCTCACACAAGAGCACAAGGACGTTATAATCAACGATGAGTGGTTGGATGACACAATAATTGATGCTGCCCAGACTCTTCTTAAAATGCAATTCAATACAGATGGATTGCAGAGCTGTGTCCTAGCACAAGTTGGCATGATGCCTGTGACCAGGGAGGCTGTTCAAATTCATTATGATGTGAATCGTCACCATTGGTTCACAACAGCCTTTAAGAAAGGGATTGTTGAGGTTGTGGACAGTTTAAGAACATCACACCTGTCTCCTTCCGCCAGAAGAGAGATTGGCCAATGCTATGGTAATGTCATGAAGAACCCACTTAAACAAGTTCACATGCGGAAAGTGGACCAGCAACCAAACGATGACGATTGTGGTGTTTTCGCAATTGCAAATGCTTTTGAGTTGCTCAGTGGAAGAAATGCAACATGCAAATATCTTCATCGTCAAATGAGAAAACATCTGATTTCTTGCTTGGAGAACGGAAAAATCACAGAGTTCCCAAAGAGATTTTAAGATTTAGAAAATAAATGATATGGCAAAATTAAATGATCATAGAAATATATATCAAATTCATCATTAAGATATTAAAATATTATTTTTCAAACATGCATGCTGGCTCTAAAATAAAACTGTTTAAATGTAGATTCTGAAGACCAATCTGCAGTTTTTAGCAGGTCTAACAAAGAGTCTCCTGCTTGAAACACTTTAGTAGTCATAGCTCCTCTTGAAGAGTGAGCGCCAAACACTGAAATATCAATACCTGCCATAGACATAGTTTGTCTTACCCATCTGGCTAAAGATGTAGAGGAGACAGGCAGAAAAGGTTTTCGAAAAGAGATTACCAATTGAGAGAAATTAGAATTTCTTCTAGGTGAGATTTTAAGCTCCTATGTTTGAAGACAAGTGACAGCACATAGTAGAGGATGGTCAGAAAAAGAAGGGTAGAACACAAACATGTACATACGGTATAAGGTGGAGTATATGTACACAAATATTCTTCCAATAACAGTTGCAAAAAACTTGTCCTTGTAGGGGTATGCTCTAAAATATAAGCATAAATAAAGAGAGTGCAATATAGCCAGTTCACAGTGGAATGATACTATATATGCGGAAGGTAGAACACTCACAAACGTAGAGCCAATATAGAGGCTCAGAAGTAATGGCTCTGTGGGTGCTAAAGGGACCCACTTCCTTCTTGCTACTGCCTGTGGTATTCAAAAATAGGATGTCCTCCCAAGGTGTAGTAGGGTAAAGTGCTTTATTGCAAAGTGCACAACAATAATTTAAAATTTATAAAAATAAATAAAAAACCTTACGGTTCAGAAGGTATAGTCCTTATATAAGGTGTAAAACGTGTTTCACCTCTGTTAGAGGCTTCCTCAGTTGCTGTCCTATGTTTCCAGGTGTTCTCCTTTAAATGTCCTCCCCTTGGTGGTCTTTTTTCGGCGATGTTTGCCGACCGTGGATTGTATTAGACTTCCGCTTCCGGTTTCGGCTTATGTGTTCCATCCGTGGAACGCAAGCGTCACGTGACGTGATGCTCCATATCATTTCTAGGTCCCGGTTCTTCAAATATGTAGTTTCTTTACCACTGGGAGATAATAAAAGTAACAATATATCCAAAAAATATATTTTTCTCAATCCTTCAATATCTAAATATACCTCATACATATTATTATACCATCTTACTTGTCACTTAAAAGGGATTATATATATGCTGAAATGCCCATGCAATTTATTATATATAGGTAGAATTATTAGACCTTTAAAAGTAAGAATTGCAGAGCATATTAGAAATATAAGAAATGGCCTAGAAACTCATCATGTTTCATTACATTATAAACAGGTTCACAACCAAAAACCTGCAAATCTTATTTTTTGTGCAATAAAAGAAGTTAAAAGGAATTGGAGAGGGGGTGATTATATTAAAACTCTTGGAAAAGAAGAAATGAATTTTAGTTTTCAGTTTAAAACTCTCACCCCTTATGGTTTGAATGTAGATTTTGAAGTATGTCATTTTTGATTATTATTATCAGTTTTTTTTTTCATTTTTACTAATTATATAATTTTAATTTCATATTAGCTTTTATTGAGTTTTATCCATTATCTATTTATTGGTTTTATTTGATCAATATATATTTTTATATGACTTTTGGAGATGCTATTTTGTTCTTGAATTAATCAGCACAAGAGATGTCATTACATATGTTTATTGTAAGGATTATTGTAAGGATTAATAATATGTATGAGGTATATTTAGATATTGAAGGATTGAGAAAAATATATTTTTTGGATATATTGTTACTTTTATTATCTCCCCGTGGTAAAGAAACTACATATTTGAAGAACCGGGACCTAGAAATGATATGGAGTATCACGTCACGTGACGCTTGCGTTCCACGGATGGAACGCATAAGCCGAAACCGGAAGCGGAAGTCTAATACAATCCACGGTCGGCAAAGAACGCCGAAAAAAGACCGCCAAGGGGAGGACATTTAAAGGAGAACACCTGGAAACATAGGACAGCAACTGAGGAAGCCTCTAACAGAGGTGAAACACGTTTTGTACCTTATATAAGGACTATACCTTCTGAACTGTAAGGTTTTTTATTTATTTTTATAAATTTTAAATTATTGTTGTGCACTTTGCAATAAAGCACTTTACCCTACTACACCTTGGGAGGACATCCTATTTTTGAATACCACAGGCAGTAGCAAGAAGGAAGTGGGTCCCTTTAGCACCCACAGAGCCATTACTTCTGAGCCTCTATATTGGCTCTACGTTTGTGAGTGTTCTACCTTTCACACATATAGTATCATTCCACTGTGAACTGGCTATATTGAACTATCTCTCTTTATTTATGCTTATATTTTAGAGCATACCCCTACAAGGACAAGTTTTTTGCAACTGTTATTGGAAAAATATTTGTAACAAGGACAAGTTTATTGCAAATGTCATTGGAAAAATTATTGTGTACATATACTCCACCTTATACCGTATGTACATGTTTGTGTTTGTGTGGGGATAAAGGGAAAACCCACATAAGGTGTTTTGAGTATTTGTCATCTCATTTGGTGCCACTCATTGGGATATTGTTATACACGTAGAACACAGAGCGAAGATTAGTTTAGGTACGTTTAACAATAGAAAAATGAACACCATCAGGAGTATATTGTATATTATTTAAGTCTAAAGCCTTAACGTCAGAAACTCTTTTAAATGAAATGAGGCATAGTAACGTGGTAAGCTTAAACGAAAGCAATTTTGAGGATAATTAGTCATTGTCACCCCCACAATTCTATTAATTGGAGTACCAGAGTAACATCCCAAGTAGAATGATATTTAGGGCATGGCGGACACTTAAATTTAATACCCTTCATAAGTCTGTAGACTAAGGGATGTTTGCCCACAGGGAAAAATTCAGTAGGTTTGTAATTTGCTGAGATATCTGATCGATAGACATTAATGATGCGATAAGCCATGCCTGAGGCAAACAAGGCTGACAAGAAATTTACAATGTTTGCTAAATCTGAATGTATGGGATCCACCACACGTTCCATGCACCAATTAAGCCAAATTGTCCAGGCTGATTTGAAATTTGCACGGGTACAAGGTGCCCATGCTTCTGAGAGTATGTCTCTAGTTGAGTTTGAAAATTCACTACGAGATTCGTATGACCCGAGATGAGAGATGCTATTAAAGGTAGTTAGCCTGATAGTACTAGAAGATGAAGATTTCCCTCCGGATTACGAAGAGCATCCCGACGCATCTGTATGAGTCATGGGTAGTCTATCGGCATGGTGAGAAGCTAAGGGAACCATGGTTGTGATGGCCAAAGAGGGTTTATTACCACTAGCGTTGAGACCATGCTTTCAGAAGTACCCGGGGTATCATCGCAAATGGGGGAAATGCATAATTGACTCCGTCTTCCCAGCATTGGAGGAATGCATCCTGATCTACTGCCTTTTGATCCAGACACCAACTTAAAAATGTTTTTAAGTGGCGATTTAGTCGTGATGCAAAGAGGTCATATTGAAACGGACCCCACAGGCAAAGTAGTCGTTGGAAGATGTTGAGATCCAACATCCAGTCGCTGTAATCCACTAGGAAACGGGACTTCCAATCTACTACTGTATTGGAAAGGCCGGGACGATATACTGCTCGTAAAACTATGTTTCGATGGACGCAAAAGTGTCAAAAATCTTTGGCAATGTCCGCCAGTTGCTTGAATTTTGTAATTTCTAAGCGATTTATGTATTGGACTGCTGATATGTTGTCCATCTTGAGAAGAATACAACAATGGGATTTTAGTTTCGCAAAGCTGCGTAGAGAGAAAAATTTGCCATGAGTTCCAGGCAGTTTGTATGCATACTCGTCTCTTCTAGAGACCATTTGTCTCCTGTGGAATTGCCTCCACAACGGGCTCCCCAGCCTACTCGACTCCAAATTTGAACGTGATCTAACCACCAGAATAGTTCTGTTCTTGTCTCTGGAGCCAAAGAGATCTCGTCTGAATAAAGGAGACTATTGCATAGATGTGCCCTTTTTAATCTTTGAAGAGCCCGATAATGAAGGGGGGCTGGAAAAATAGCTTGAATCGATGCTGATAAAAGACCTACAATCCGTGATTTGATGGAAATTAATTCCTTGTTCAAAACTGACCTGATCTCTTTCCGAATCGTTTTCAATTTTCGTGACGGAAGACTGAGAGTGGCTAAATTGGTATTTACTTTAAATCCCAAAAATTCTATCTGCTTAGAGAGAGTTAAAATCAGAATTTATTACAAAGCAAAGGCTTGTTAACAGATTCAATGTCCATTGAGAATGTAGTTGAAGAGTTTGCACACTCTGTGACATCATCAATATGTCGTCTAGATAATCATTCTCACTTCCCTGCTTCGAAGCAGGGATACAACTGGTTTGAGCAATTTGGTGAAACACCAAGGTGCGGTGGATAATCCAAATGGCAATGATTTAATTGCCAGTTCTTCCCATATGAATTGTAAATAATTCTGACATGAATGGTGAATAGGTACCGTGAGGTACGCATCCTTCAGATCTATTTTGATCAACCAGTTGTTGAGTATGAATAGGTCTTTTGAAATTGTGGTATCTGACAAAATTGTTTAAATATTTTAAATGTATGACTGGTCTGTGACCAGAATCTTTCTTTTTCACCAAGCATAATTGTAATATTTCTTGATGGGTCAGAGCTTGGCCTTGCATCAAAAATGTTATCGGGAAAGGTATTTTTCTTTGAACAGGATATGATATAAAATCTATTTTGTATCCCAGAACAAGAATCCCAAGAATCGTTTGTAATCTGACTCCAAATGTGAAAATAACGAGTGAGTCTGCCCCCTAGCCCTTCTAGTGAAGGAAGTGGAATTGTCATACTTACTAGATAAAGATCTGGAGTGAGACATTCCCCGATGGCCTCTTGCTCTCCAAGGTCTGCCACGTAGTGGGAAGAATGGAGTTGTTTGTTGGGTGTTATATGGGGGCCTGGTGGG